GGGGGGGGGGGAGCTGAGTAAACCTTGACTTTAAAAGATACTTCTACTGTGCTGCTACACAGAAACTGCTGAGCAGATATGTGTGTGGGAGGGAAAACGCACTGGAAGGGGCAGATCAAGGACCCCACAGTGAGGGAGGGAGTGGGGCAGAGTCAGGGGCTGGGGTGAATGGGAACTTGGGACAGGTCTTGGGACAATCAGGGCCACAGGTGGCACATGCAGGGGCGCAGGGCAGGTCCCACTGCTGTGTGCACCCCAGGGGAGGCACGTGCCCCCCAGCCTTGTGGTGAGGCAGCTGCCTGCTGTGGGCTGGGCCCTGCGCCCCGCTGCCATTGCCCCAGAAGCTGCATGCTGACTGCGCCACGTCCCCTGTCTGCCCAGTGGTGGGAGGCACATGGCATTATGCGGCTGCCAGGACAACAGCAGCAGGCAACCACCTCTGTCCCATGCACAAAGCCAGGGGGCACAGGCCTCCCCCTGGGATGCAGGCAGCAGCACCAGCCCCCCTACAACCCTGGATGAGCCACCTATGGCTCCAGCCATCCCAAGACCCATGCCAGGGCCCCATTTGCCCCAGCCCCACTCCCTCCCTCACCACAGGGGCCTCGATCTGCCCTCCCCCCACACACACTTACCTGCTAGGCACTGCTCCACAAGGCACTGGGCTACATTCCTGGCTGCCTGCAGGCTGTGGCTGTGTGTCTGTCTGTGCACACCCCCTGCCCACTCCCCGCTGCAGCCACCTGCAGCCTGGGCCCAGAGCCTGTGCTGCCATCACTGCCCTGAAAAGGTCCTGAGAGGAGTTTACTTAAGTTAAGAGATTGAGTTAGTTCTATTTGATCACGGTAGCATTAGAGTGATGTTGTAGCCATGATGGTCCTGGAATTATGTAAGGCAAGGTTTCTTTATTGGACTAACTGTATAGCTGGGTAAAATTAGACAAGGTTTTAAATGTGAAAGAATGTTCTGCATTCAAAGTTTGTCTAAATGTTACCCAACCACACACATGGTCCAAGAAAAGATGTCACCCCCAAAAATCCTAATCTCTGTTCTGTTCTACCAATGACTGCTGCACAGGTGTAAGCTGAAGACATTACTATAATTTTTATAGAGTAGGGAATTTTCTTGCTTTCCCTTGTTGCAGAAGACGTTTTAGCACACAAAATGGTGCTCACCAACATCTCAGACACATTATAACCAACATATTTGTCTTCATAATTTTTGCACAAACAAGATAACTAAAAACAATAATTTCTTTGGAAATACTAATATAAGGGGGAAATGTAATAAATTAGAGGTTATGTATAAGGGTGTGCATGCACAAAAACTGGAAGACATACAAATTAAATTCTTATTCAACTAGCTGTATAGATATTCGCTGAAAAGAATGAGAGTTTGTAGAAACACATTTACCTCTCTTCAACATTTTAAGTATATATAGGTATATAAATGCATACATTTATACTATACATATGTATGTATCCTAGAAAGAATTTTGAGATTTGTGCTCCTGGACTAGGGACAGACATCACACATAAAGCACTTTAAGTGATCAGAAACTGGTTTAAACCTGTAACAGAACAGACATTCAGAGCACATAAACCACTTACAAAACGGCCAAAACCGGTTTGAGATAAACCTGGTTGAATGTAGTATCAGACTTAAACGATTTGGGTCAAACCAGTTTATGCAATGTCTGTCCCAGGGCCCTTACTGGTTTAAGATAAGCCAGACACCCCCAGCATCCTGGCATGCTCTCTGGGCTGGGCAGAGCTCTCTGTTCCATAACAGAGTTCGCCCCTCCCCTCTGCTCTCAAGCCGGAGCAGGGACCAGCCCCAGTGGAGACACCAGTGGGCATGGTCTTGTTAAGGCAAAGTAGGCAGGGAGGAAGTTAATTCTTCCCTTCTTCCCCTCTTCCCCCACCACAGCCGGGGTCTGCCTGTCTACAGGGGAGCAAAGGAGAGGGGGCTACAGCAGTGGCCCCTGGAGCTGGGAGGCCCTGGCTGCAGGGAAGGGATGGAGGGAGGAATCAACCCTTCTCCCTGCTCCATTCACCTTAACAAAGCTATGCTGGGTTGGCTGTCCCCCAGGGTGGGGAGGGGGGCTCTGTTCCATGGTAGAAGGGACTCTTCCCCCTCCTCCTCCAAGGGTGAGGAGGGGGGTTCTGAGGCACAGGATAGGGACTCTTCCTCCTCCCCACCACCACTGCCCCGGGGCTGGGAGCAGGGAGGGGCTCCATGTGATGCTGCCTAGCTCCAGAGCGGGTACAGGAGGGGCAGGGGGAGGCTCTGTTCCACGCTGGGGGGAACTCTTCCCCCTCCTCCTCCTCTTCCCCCAAGGGGCAGCGGGAGTGCGGAGCTTAGCTGGGCAGGGGGTGAGGGGGTGTAGGGATCCTCACAAACTCCCCCCATGGCATACAGCCCCTGCTGCCTGCCAGCAGCAGCAGGCAGGGAGGCCAGGATGCTCGTACCTGGCACAGGTGCGGTTCCAGCCAGAGCTGCGCAGAGGAGGGAGCAGACCTTGCCTTATCTCCCTCTGGGGCTGGGCAGCATCCCATAGAGCCCCCCTCCTCACCCCATAGTGATGGGGGAGAAGAAGGGGGAAGATTCCCTGTCTGGGGCCAAGCAACCTCACAGAAGCCCCCTCCTCACCCCACTGCACGGGGGGGAGGAGGAGGGAGAAGAGCCCCCCAGCACTGACCAGGGCCCCCCTACCGGCCCCGCAGAGGTGGGGAAGAGGAAGAAAGGGAAGAGCTCCCCTCTGGGGCTGGGCAGCCCTGTTTGCTGGGAATCCCAGCTGCCAGGGAGACACTGCCAGGGCCTGGCCACACCCCCTCTCTTCAGCTCAGCTTTCATGTGGAAGGGAGGGCTGCTTTAGCACCACCAGACTTCTGGCTTGAGCCACTGCAGCCATGTGCCAAACATCTATCCACTTGCAAACCGGTTCACTCTCTGCAGATTAGACTAACCTGCAAAGATTGAATCAATTCAGGCTCACGCTTTTTGAATGTCTGTCCCCATCCATAGACATCTTAACATTTTAAACAACCCGAGAGATAAAAGGTACTGTTGCATACATCTCTCAGTCATGGACCCCTAGTTCTTGTGCTTCAATCCTCCAAGTATTTCGACTCATTTATAGTGCTCATTTTATTTTCACGTTAAAGGCAGGAGCATCACACACAGCCCTGGTTCAGAGCAATGCAAACACTTGGAAACAAAAAGCACGGCTTTTCATAACTTACTATATCTCGGAATACTACTGCGCGAAGTCGGTTAATATCCATATCCTGCAGAAGTCTATCAAGGTCTCGTATTGGAGAAACCCCACCTGTCACAATGTCGACTGGACTCTATTTGGAAGAAACCAATTATGTTAGATGTTTAAAGTACTATTCCAAGAAGCACTAACAGGATATGTACCATTACTTTCACTACTTTCATAGTTTTCATGGTGGGAGTGAAGGATAAAGGAGGTGGAAGGAGGAAGGAAGATGTTCGCGTAAGAAATACAGAGTGCTCTCCATTCTACATGTTAAGAATAGTATTGAAGATGCTCATAAAACACAGATGTCTTATGTGAAGACAGAACATAAGTATTTTCTCTCCCAAGTTACCTGAAAACAGGTTCCGACTTCTGTCACTGAAGAAGATCAAAATATCTATGTATTTAAATATTACCTTTACAACTTGGATCACTACTTTAGGTGTGATATATTTCTGATGATGTTCTATTTACTTTCACATTCACTTTTTTTAACATGTTCATAGTAAAAATAAAAATAAAGACATTTAGCTTTGGTGCAATAAATATAGTAGTCACATTTACCCTTAATTTATTTATTTATATTTAATGTTGGCATCTACTTGCCTTTGCTGAAGATTTTCCTGCTCCTGTCAGGCTATGAATTGTCTTGTGACTCTTTAAAGTTTCTGCATTAGGTTTCAGTTGGGTATGCTGCTGACACTCCAAACAATTTCTTACTGCCACTGCACACACTTTGAAGAAAAAGGTATGTTGTGGGTTATAACAGGAAGTAATAATTTTATGTTATCTGTACTTCTCATGTTAATAAGCATCATGTTTACATTTATGTTAAAATATGTTCAGGTGAAAAAAGGCAATTAGAGAAATAAATGGATTCTCTCTCTCTTTCACAACGAACTTTAATTTACTGCCAAACAATGGCCAAATGATATTTTAATTATATTGCCATTGAATACATTTATTAAAACTTCATACTTCATACATAAATGAGTATTGATCATATCCTCCTGAATATCCAGGAGGATATGATCAATACTCATATACATATGTTTAGCATTGCTGCATCTTGTAGTTCTGATACTCACTAAAAGGTTTTCGTAAGTACAACTGAATATGAAAAATCAGTTAAATTTCCTCATTATGCATTAACAGTGAAGAGAAATAAAAATGCACCTAATACTTGTCTGTAAAGGAAGGAAAGTAGCTACATTTAGAGTTATGTTTCATGCATCAATTCTATTAATAGGATATTGAATACAGTCTTCCCAGTTGCTGCTGTACGTACATCATCTGTCAGTTTTTGCAGGGTACAGACAGAAGTAACAATTATATCAATATCAGAGGATATCCACACAAGGTATTCTGACATAACTGTGACTTTTTCATGATTCTGCAACTATATAAATATAACACAACTGCTTCAACTTTAAATCCAAGGTTAAATTTAGGGTGATTTGGCTCCCCTGTATTGTTACAGGCTTATGAAAATGTAACAGTAAGATAGTAACAATTGGTATGCATCCCCAAGAAGCATCTCCTCCCTTTTAAAGCACCTAACATTTTGTCCATACCCTCAGATCCCTTTTGAACATTTACAACACAGTTGGTTTTCTCTCAGTACAAGTCTATGCAGACACTACATAATGCTCAAAAGCATTAGGAGATAACAGAAGATTATGAAATGATTTGAAACATGTCCATTTAAAATTTTGCATTTCTTAGTTATCTAAATTTTTGCCATCTCCTGTCCCAGTAACCCTAAGTTTACCTCAAACTCCATTTCTTAGAACAAAAGCATCACTCAATTTTATTAGGTAGCCAGTTTTTACAATGGACATACTTTATGACCACTATCTTTTTATCTCATGAAAAATCACCAGATTATGATAAATCCTTTATTTAATTATTGGATGGATTGTTTTTCCAAAAAAATCTGATGTTTTGGAATTTGTTTCTGTTCCATATCAGAAGTAATGAGGCCTTTCAAAAAATATGAAAAGGGAT